TCCAACTATTTATAACAGCAGGGGAATGTTAAACTTCAGATGTGCCCCTAATGAAATAAAGCATAACTCACGTATAATGTTTGCTGAGTTTAGGAGGATTGAAGTATAATTGCAGGGCAAGCCATTGCTGTTAGTGGGGTCCTGTGCGCAGTCGTGAGACCATCTGGAAGGGTGATTTACTAAGGCTGGGGCAATCTGGCAATTTAGGCTCTTTTTTTTTTTTTATGGTGTTTAGACTCTTACCCCTGTTATAAAGTGCAATCTGGAGTTTTTATGGGGTTGTAGGTGCCTCCTGCACAAGATGTAGGTTGTGGGTTGTTTTTATTTTCTGATTTTTTTTTCTCTTTCTTCCTTTTCTCTTTAAAGGGTTATTTTAAATTTCAAAAAGGCAGCTCTTGAATTTAACAAAAAAAAAAAAAAAAAGAGAGAAAGGAAAAAAAAATCCACCCCAGCAGCAGGCAGACAAGATCCTATGCAGAATTTAAAAGCTGTCACGTGTGTCGTGCATACCAACAACCTTTTTTTCCCTAAGCCCTGCGGCCAACGGGAGGAAGGAGCTTAGCAGCAGCAGAGCAAATTGGCAGGGGTGAGAGAAATGGCAGCGGGGGCCGAGTTGCGCTTGTCCTCCCGGAGCGAGAGGCGGTCGCCAGCTGTGGATCTCCCTCTCTGCCCCAAAGAGCTGGTGGGGGCAGGTGTTGGTGCCCCTTTAGTTTCTTGTGAGGTGGCCCTTAACAGAAAATGGACCAGAAAATGCTGAGCGTTGAGATTATGCCTGGAGAGCTCAGTGGTCAGTGATGTTTTTCAGCGGAAAAAACACTGAGCTGATTTGCACCGAGTTCAGCTAAACGCATCAGCATCCATGGTGTGGGCCAAAAAAAGCCGCCTTTCTTTGAGCTTATACTTCTTCCAAGTTATTCTTTGCTTGTGTTTAAATGTATACCGTGACTCTTTTTTTTTTTTTTTTTGTATTCTTAGCTACGTGTAAATGTAATTTCAAGGCATGATTTGTGTCTTCTTGGAGTTACGAACCCCAGTGGGACTATTCTATAAAATTAAGTTAGCAGCTTTTCAACACTCCTAGTTGTACTGAACTCGTCTCTCACAATGTGGTGGAGGAATAATTCCTGCTATAACCTTCTGTTGATGGTTCAAATAACCTGTCTAAGAGACATCCTGTTTCTGGAGGGCCCTATTCCTTTAATTCCTTCCAAAATTGGTTTTGCCTTCTGTGGAACAGTGCTGCAGAATTTAAGTACTTGCAAATGCGTTTTACCTCGAGATATACGTTGCAGTTTGCATTTTCAATCCTAGTGAAGCTTTAGCAGACGGTTACTTTTGGCCTAATCATTTGTACGTTTTTAGGGATTTTTTTTTTTCTTAGTTCAAAAATGAATATTTTATTTTAAGCCTTTGGACCATCTTGCCCACATCCAGTGATGGATGTCTAATGAGATGACTTTTTACCTCCACTAAATGGTTATATTGTTTGCACTGATGTATGCTAAGACTTGATGCATTAAATCTTCGGTCATTAGCAGATGCCATTAGCGGAAAAGTCCAAATCACTTAGAGCTGTGACTTAAGACTTTTCTCTAAAACCTGAATTTGCATGTTATTGGATAAATCTGCTAATACGGTTTAACTGGACTCACAGAAGTTACTTGAAAACTTTTTCCACTGTATGTGGTAGGCGCTCCGGCCTCTAGGAGCCCTTAGCCCCCAGAAATGGGCTCTTCTGGGGCTTCCTGTGCACCCCATCGTACCTGAATTTGTTAGTGCCACCGAGCCCTGCCTGCCCTGAGGTCCTTGCGAGCCGCTGCAGCGGTGTGGAGTGGGGCTTCACAGGGGACAGAGCTGCTCCTGCCCTGCCACGATGCCCCCGAGAAGCTGCTGAAGATCCTGGGATAGGGACTTGGACCTGCCCGCAAAATGCGGATGGGCCTTCCCGTGGCCTGACTTGTCCTGTTGGATAAACCTTTCCAAAGCCCTCCCGGGGTCACCCTCAGCTTCAGCCCTGCAGGTCTCTGCTGGGATCAGTGGTGGCCAACGGAGCCCGTTCGGAAGCTGTGAGAGAGGAGACGGGGCTCGCGGGGCCGTCCTCGCGCTGGCTCTGTTTGAACTGTGTGCTAAACGCCAGTGCTTAATGAACGCTCAGAATCCAGCGTGTTTCTGTGGGAGATGCAGCACCCGTGCTTTGAAAGTTGTCTGGAGGGAACTGGAGTGTTTATTGCAACGTTACAGCCAAAGTCTGTGGTGAAAATTTGCACTGTTTAAAGCAAGAATCGCAAAGGGGCGAGACCCGTCCTTAAGACCATAGGCAGGCCACGAGGGTGGCATTTTCTCTCCAGTGCCACAATTACCCTGAATCCGGTTACTAACTGTAATCCAGCGAGATAGATGCTTATCCTCGTCTCTATCAAATCCCATTTACTCCTCTGTGCAAAGCTCCTCTGGCTCTTGTACTTTCTTTTATTTCTCTTTATTGTGCATCGACTCTTCGGGCTTCAAGCAGAGCAGTTGCCTCTTGCTGTTCGTATGTCCTCCTGTGTTGCCTTCACATCCACGCTCAAAACCTGGTTTGAGTCAAATGCTGATCTTTTGGCCAACAGATGTGATGTGTGGTCTGAATAATAAAATTCTGGAGTGGGCTGTGCTGGTGGTGAGCAGATCTGGGGCTGCTGGCCAGCAGGCCAAGGTCCCTGAGCCCACACTTTATCAGGGCCGCCAGCGGGCTTGGGGCTCCAGCCTGGTTTATGGCGAGGTCGAAAGTGAGGTGGCTACAAATCTCCCCTCCTGCATCTACTTTGTGCCGTTTTCTCAATTGCACTAACAAGTGGAGGATGCTTTGAAAAATGAAGCATTAATTGATCTTCGCTGTAAAGAGATGAGAAGATTGGCTCTATATGTAAATGTTTGCTAAAAATCAGTGGTTTGGGGATGGGAAGGAGCTCTCCGGTGTCAAGTCTGCTGCGTTTCCACAGGGTTGCCCGCGGAAAGGCCCTGTGCAGCGAAGCTCGCAGGCACGCGGCGCGCTGCAGCCGCAGTTATTGCTGAGGCCGATGAACTCGTTTCATTGGTGGGTAACCAGGTCTTGCCAAAACGCCCTGTTGGTACCTCCTCTATTTCAACCTCCAGCCCGCCGTGCTGAAGCCTTGTCCATAAGGACAGGCCTTCAGGCGTGGGCCTTCGGTTTCTTTTTTTAATTGCTCCAGAATTAAGTTGTTCTTGGTGTTTCCTCTTCTTGCCACAACTGGAGCAATTTGTGCTCCCAGAGCACAAATCCTGCACTAGTTTGGCCATTAAAAGTCTATCACTGCTTTCAAAGGAAGACTGAAGTTGCCATCCTCTGCACTTGCTAAGTCCTCCTGCTGCAGAAGGAATTCAGGGCTGTAAAAAGTAAACAAATTAAATTACATTAGGTAGAAAGGCATGGAACGCTTTCTTTTTTTTTCTTTTTCTTTTTTTTCTTTTTTTTCCTTTTTTTTTTCCCCCTTGTCTCTTCAACATGTCCTCAAATCCTCTGGCAAGTGATTGGTCCTTCTGTTTCATAGTACTGCTATAGCAATAGCAGGAGGTGTGTGTTGGTGGGTTTTTGTTTGTTTTTTAGCTGCATGTCTTATTCTCATTTAAAAAAAGTGTTTTGCATCCCTGCCTGCTCTGCAGTATTTCTATAAGCTATGTAAGTTCCCTCCTGCCCCAGAATGTTGTCACACTGAAATATTTATGGCCCTCACGTGGCATAGCGGGTTATTATGTAATATTTCCATTGGAAACATCCAGACCAATAGGGTGTCTCTGGACCCCAACAATTCTGGGCCATTTATATGCTGATTTCCAGCCCGCTGACAAGCCACTCACTCACTTCTACATGTCCTTCATCATCAAGACCCCCGCACGCCGCAAACCATGGCCACCAGTTTAGAAGACAAAGTGCTGTAGTTTAAAAAACAAAAGCTCTAGGATGCTGCAGAGTTGAGGGAGACATGGGCTGGCTTACAGAAAGTACGAGCAGAGGATTTCTAAAAAGCCAGGAACCCTGATATCATGAGCACGGTGCATGGTGATTATATCCAGTATAATACAGTATGTTAATTACCAAATTTTGAGAAATTAATGCTGCTTAGCAGCTGTGTGTGTGACCTAAATACATCTATTGCCTGATCTTTATTCATAATATACAGTTTATTGTTGATAAAGTAATTGCTGAATGGTGGGCTGGCCCACAAGTCTTGTAGCTAAAGACTGAGGGCAGATGTGTAAATCATCTGAAATTTGTTGGCTTCTATTTTTGCTGAATTTATACAAACGGGGAAGATGAAGAGCAGCCTGAACCACTGCCTTTAGAACTCGGCTCATACATATTATTGAGAATTCATATTGCTTTTATTATTTGGTCGCAAAAATGGACCTAATGCTTGTTGGCTTTAAAACACCTACTAGGGCTGCTTTCTCTCTCCATCTTGCAAAATATAAGACAAGGCCAAAGCTTAAATTAAAATCCTCAGGTTCTTATCTCTTTCCCACAGGAAAGCAAATCTGTGTTGAAAACCGTAAAATTAAGAGGAGAGCAAGGATAGCATAATTTAGCAAAAATTCATGGTACCAGATTCTGAGCTATATGACTGGAGGGGTAGGTCAGACATTAAGAAGATACTGCCTGCTAATGCAAGTTCCTTAAGGTGGTGCTCTGAAAACAAGGAAAGCAGAAACTGCAGCACCGCTTCCCATTTGTTCCCATTCCCCTTCTTCTATCAGTCTTAATAATAAATTGACTCTTCCATTTAATAACCCTTCCAGTTCTCAGTGTCGAAAGAGATCCTCGATTTGCACTCAGAATATTGTCCTAAAATCTATTATTGTGTCAGGGTTTCAACATCGAGATTCAAATGAAATTAACTTCATTGGGCTCTTAGATTTAAAATTGCATTTTAAGCGTGCCTATTATTATCAATGCAGAAACGCTCCCCTGCTAACGCTTGCGTTTTCTCCTTCTCTCGCAGTCGAACAAGGTGCCCGTGGTACAGCCCTCTCATGCGGTTCACCCTCTCACCCCCCTTATCACCTACAGCGATGAGCACTTTTCCCCGGGGTCGCACCCGTCTCACATCCCCTCAGACGTCAGCTCCAAGCAAGGTGAGCCTACAGTATTTTCCAGCCATGCATGCCCTCTTTCGGAGATGCTAATCCTGCGCGATGCTGGGATTTAAGTTGGCCACTTGCATCTTTGTGCCCCTTCCTAAGGTGTTAATTCTGGCTTGTTTTGCTCGACAAAATGTCTCAAGACCTCAGTAATCGGCAGCCCGTCCTCGCTTCCTGCCCGTTGTGCCCGAGGCTTGCAGTGGGCAGGCATGGAAATGATGATCAGCCCCAGCCTCCCCAAAGCTCAGGGAGGACACGCCGGTACGGCTGCAATTGGAACGGAGCTCTAATTGCAGTGCTGCTTTATGCCTTTTTACGCAGGCTGTCCACGCTGCTCCGTGTCAGCTGGCACAGCTGAAAGGTGTCCTGGAAAGCGAGTGAGGCCAGGTCAGAGTCTGCACAAGTTCAGGCCTTGCAAATGTGGCATTTTTAATGCTCTTGTTTCTGCAGAATTTTCCATGTCCAAGTTGTGGGTGTCTTTTTTTTCTTTCTTTCTTTTTTCTTTTCTTTTTTTTTTTCCCCTGAATTCCTTGTTTTATGTTGGCCTCGCTATGCCAGCAGTGACTGCAGCTTGCTGGGCAGCTCCTGCTGGCAGCCCCGACGGCCGGGACCGGGGACGCTCTTTGTGGCGGCGCAGGCCGCAGGCCCCGTCTTGCCCTCGCTCGGCTCCTCGCTGCGTGTGGCCTCCTCGTGCAGCAGAACGGCCCAGCGCTGCGGCTGCTCCCGAGGGAGGACCTCGTCCCTCGCCGCCCCTCCGGATGCCTCCCACCATTGTTCCCCTGCGCCGCTCCGAGCGGCTGTGGGTGGCTCCGAGACCACCCTTGGTTCCCGCCACCTCCTGCCAGGCCTGATTCCCAGTGGGTGGAAAGAGGCAGCAGGGAGCTGGGTTCCCCACTGGGCTCCTGCTTTGGGGGCTGGCGAGGAGGCCGTTTGGCAGGTGGTTGATTGTTGTTTGCTGTTTTGTTGTTGTTGTTGTTGGTGGTTTTTTTTTTTTAACACTGTCGAGCTGCTCCCCTGCATGGGCCGAGGTCCTGTGAGCCGAAGCTCCTTCCCAGTGCGCTGCTCAGCAGCAGCCGCTTTCCCAGGCGTTTTCCTGAGGGACATCAGCTGTCTGGCCAATCTCACCAGCTCTGCCAAGGGACCAAGTTTGGGACTAGAAATAACCGTTGTGTCTTAGTGCAGTGAGAGCAGTCTGGGGTCACGAGTGCCAGATTTGGGGAAGAGCAGCCCAGCTCTTCGTGCGGAGGTTTTGGTCCAGTAGAGGCGATATCCTGAGGTAACTCCTTGGGAGCATCGGCTCCCAGCAGAAGTGAGATGCTGGACCTGTGTTTCACCCTTTCTAGGGGCTCCAGAGGGGTGTCCGCTCTCATTAAAAATGCTGGGATCCATAAAAATGTCCTGTCCTGCTGCTGGTTTACAGCTCTGGGAAGAACCTGCCCCAGGCCTGATCTTCAGGTTGCGCTCCTGCGTCTCACAGGTTGGCTTTTCCTCAAGACCCCAGAGCAGACAGAGTTAGCAGTGACACTGCCTTTTCTATCCTTTCCTGTACACAGTCCCAAAAGGTGCTTTTCAAATCTTATAATTAAATTCAGAACTTCTAATATGAACTATGGGGGGGAAATAATCAGTAGAGCTGGTCTGTAAAATGAAGTCTCAGGGTAACATGCACTCAATCTTGGACATGTGGAGTGCCACTACATAAATATTTAATAGCCCTTTAAAGCAGCTGATTTAACATGTGAAGTAATCTTAACAATTCCTGCTGTTTCAGCCCCGTCTTCCCCAAACACATTTAAATAAACCAATGTCTTTGTGGCCTCTGCAACCATAATCCCACGTCTCCTGGGGGCATGCATGAGTTTTAGGTGAAGAATGGAGACGATGGACCCTTTGGGGACCAGGATTAGCTTTAATCTTGAGGTGGTTCTTACAATTGTAGGACTCTGTGTTCGGGGGAATGTGAGCTGATGGATCATTCCTGGTGGGACTTCTTATGTTTTTCCCCATGAAATACTACTAATGCAAAACAGACTGACCTTGGAGCCCACAGGAGTCAACTTGATGAAGAGCTTAGTTGGAGCTGGAGTGACAATTGGAAGCCAAATGAATCATATCAAGTGTGACCATTACAGGCCTGAAAATGATTCTTAATTAACCACTGATCCTCTGTGGTAGCAAGTTTCCAAAATATGTGAATCCATGAGGGAACCAGCGAAAATGTACGAGTAGCAATTTACCTAATCTAATAGCTCTGCCGGGCTGCCTGTGTGACGCTACTTTTATTTTCCCTGTCTCATGCCACGCATTAGATGGTTCCTCAGTGTTTGGCCTGGTTTGGCAAGACCCTTTAGAGGGCTGTATTGCCTACCACACTTAGCAGGAAACCTGAATTTGTGCAGATGTTGACCAGTATGGTTAGTCTATCTTTCCACTTTGTTTTTCCATCATTCCCTTTTGAATTGTGAAACTGTTAGAATATGCTCCTTATTTTAAGGGTCCCGTGGGTAGTCGTTTGCTTTCAATGGTAACCGAAAAGGCGGGTATTTTTCTTATCTAGAGTGCTAGTTTTGTCATAGCGTTGGCCATGTTAGCTGTGAACCTTAGCTCGCTTTTGCAGTGTTTTGAGGGGAAAGTCACTCATTCTTCTGTGCTCTTTAACAGGCATGTCCAGACATCCTCCAGCTCCTGATATCCCCACCTTCTATCCCTTGTCTCCAGGGGGTGTTGGACAGATAACACCACCTCTTGGCTGGTAAGAGCTTTCAGCTTCTTTTCAGAGGGGGTGCATGTTCATACCATCCATTGCTGCCAAATCAATGGCAGCATTTACAAAATAAGGGTGTCGCTGCAGCAAGAAATTACGATGTTATTTTAGTTTAAAAGATCAAAAAATGTTGATCTTTGAAATGAATTGAATCTGGTTTTTTAACACGTACTGAAATTGAAGTGTGAGGGTTTCACTTTGAAGTCTATGTATTTCTTATGGCTCAGATTTGTGGCTCTTGGCATTTGGAAAGATAGCAAAAAACAGTTCTCAAGGAATTAAATGTAAATTTTTAATAAACAAAATTGCAATTACAGAGGGGAGGTAAGAAGAAACTTTGAAGTGTGTGTGTGGGGGGAAAATCTTGAAACTGCATCAAAATGGAGAGCAAACTTTTGTAGTCTGCTGCTTTTCACAGTTCCTGCATGGAGGAAGACCCCAGTCGGTGGGAGACTTTGCAGTTCTTTTTAGTATTAGCCCTCTAGGGATCTTTTGCTGCACTCACCCTCTGTCTTGTGGAGAGGAAGCACAACATTTTCAGAGTGATTGATTCTGCAGGCTGCGTTCGTGTGTCTGCTTGGGGCAGGTGGGTGCTGATGCCCACTTCTGTAGGGACAGGGTACGAGCAAATTCAGCAACAACTTGCTTCAGAGTCTCTCCTTTTTTTTTTTTTTTTTTTTTTTTTTTTTTTTTTTTTAACTAATCAATGCACTCCACATTTGAGTGATATATATAATATATATGTATATTTTTTATTATTATTATTTTCTTCTACGTGTCTATGTATGCTATGAAAGTATACTCCAAATGATAGAGCAGAGAAACTAGAGATCAGAGACTGTAAAATGCTCTATTGTCAGATAATCTTTTAGGAAGTGTCACATGCCCTTTTTGAGCAAATAATAGTGGTTATAGAACTAAAATATGGGAGCACCTACCTGTTTTATTTTCCTTCCTCCCTGTGCATTGCTGCTAGGCTGACACTCGCCCTCACCTCTACCAGGCAGCTCTTGGCACTCGTTTTCCAGCTGTGGTCAGTCATTTCTTTCAGATGGTTCCTTGCGGCAGTGGCGGGGAGGAGGGAAAGGAGGCTAAGCTGGAAACAGGAGGAGAGACGCACTGTGGCTTTGCAGAGCTGGGAAGTGTTTAGCGGTGCTCGCTTCCAGCTGAATGTAGCCCACCCTGCCTTAGCTCTGTGGCTTCCAGCTCTGCTCTGGGTATAGCAGTGCTGAGGCTTCCTCCACTTCTTTTTTTTTTTTTTTTTTTTTTTGAGCACCTTGTTTCTTCAAGTAAGGTATTCAAAGTGTGGAAATTGTATCCTAGACCTTGAAAAGGCCTGAATCCCTTTTGTTCCCCTTTGAACCCATGGACTGACTGATCAGTGTTTCTACTAGAGCTAATACATGCCAGGCCTTTCAGAGCTGGTCCAGATACTCGGTCCAAATGTGCACCTCACCACAGCATGATAATTAAGTATGATAATTCTGGTCAGGCCCTGACCTGACCCACTGCTAATTGGAAGTAAACAAAACGTAGTGATAATAAAAGCTGGAGAATCCAAATTATATGTTGGTGATAAAAATATTTTTATATATGTGCATGGGCAAAGGAGGTAAGAATTACATACAAGATTCTTCTGTTGGTATGCAAAGTTTGAACTTTAAGTAGTTAGCATGTATGTCTTCTATGTTTTTGGTTTTTGTTTTTTTAAAAATCAGATAAGCTCGAATTTCTTAAAAATGCCGTCCACTTGTTCCTTCCCATAGAAGATGCAAATGAAGAGAGTCCTAATCTTTCAAAGACTTCATAAGAGTCCAATAAGTTACTAGATTGATAGTTCATAGGCCGGTATTATTGCACAGATCTACACTGGGACTGTTTGGAATAAAATGCCTTTTTTTTTTTTTTTTTAAGAGCTGATTAACTGGATCTGCTTCCAGTTAAAAATTAGATATGAGAGACAGGGAGCCCATGTGTGCACTTCTTTCCTCCCCAAGGGAAACCTAAATTGAACCTAAACCTTTTCAAACAAGGAGAAGGTCCTAAGTATTCAGGAATTCATTAGCTTTGAATCTACTTATTACTATTTTTTGTTTTGCTTTTGTTTCGCTCTGAGTTCCCATCAAGTGCTTATGACTCTAGAGTAACTATTTAATACCGTTTCATGTTATTGATGGGTTCCTTTCTTCTGTGACCTCAGGCAAGGTCAGCCTGTATATCCCATCTCGAGTGGATTCAGGCAGCCCTATCCATCCTCACTCTCAGTCGACCCTTCCATGTCCAGGTAGGTGTAGGAGGTGAATGACTGACTGGGGAGTAACTGCTGGCATTACAGGGCAGGTGGCCCTCCTGCTTGCATCTTGGTCTGTCTTTGCTTGCTTTTCGGTCAGCTAAAACTTTATGCACACATTTTGATTTAACACATTTGTGTATATGCAGTTTGCCTGGATCCCACACTGGTCTCCTCCATTTTTTTCCTGGCAGTCTCTGAAGTATTGCAGTTAGGAACATTGGAGAATTGTCAAGGATTAATTGAAGTGTTTCACCCGAAACGAGATTGTGATTTCATTTCCAGATGCTATGTATAGCAGGCTTCCTTGGCTTTTACTCGCACAAGCAAGAAACCAGGTGGATTGTCCCTGTAGTCTGGATTCTGTGGTTTTAATTTCAAAGTTGTCAGTAATTGGTCTTGAACCACTTAGGTATCAGTCCGTGTGGCAACTTGCTCTCACGCAGGTATTTCATAGCCCAAAGCCGTTCCTGGGAAGGGATGCCAGCCCCGTGTGTCTGCACTGGTGTGTGAATCAGGCGCTATGTCTCTATGTGTAAGTGCCAGCAATGCTGAGACTCACCCGTGACACTCCAGGCCAGCTCTCCTGTGCTTCTGTGCTCCTAAGGCAGCTTCTGCATCCTGGGCTTGGTGTGCATGAGGTTGCAATAGGCCTTCTTGGTTTTTTTTTTGTGTGTGTGTGTGACCTATGGAAGAAAACCCTCTGGCCTGAGGAGTTAAGCCCCTTGGGAAGTCGTAGGTCCTCTTGGCTCTGTTCGTGAGGTTTCCTTTGGGTTATTGCTGTCCCTTTGCTTCTCTAAAGGGGAATGGAAGGAAGAGCCAGCCAGGGAGATGGGGAAGAAAAGCCATCCTTTCTCCATAACAGAATGACTCCATCGGGTCACGGATAGTTTGTGCTTGCTTTGCTTTGTTGGAGTGCAGGAGTGGGCAAAGGGATGGGGAAGGGAGAAGAGAAAAAATGGACAGGACTCCTCAGTAGGCGCTCGGCAAACCATCGGAGCAGGGACTTGCTTTTCACGGCGCTGGGACCTTTCCACCAGGTCCACGTAAAGCGTGCAAGTTTTCTGTTGCACTGGGCTTGCAATATGAAGCATCCTGAACATGTGTCTCAGCTTGGCCTTAGGGATGAAATGAGGTAGTAAGGTGGGATATGGGAGCTTGTAGTACTTTGGTTTTGTTTTCTATTTTTCTTCTGGCACAAAAGAAATGAAGGTTTCAGATGAGTTATCACTTTTTTTTTTTCTCTCCCCCTTTTTATTCTTGATTATAGGAATATTTTAAGTATTTGGAGGAAATAGTTGAGTGACATTAAAATCTTTTAAGTGTTTTGAAAAGCAAGAGATTCCATGGAGAGCTATCAGGGACTTCTTAAACAGACTCTTCTTCCTTTATTATGTTGTTTTTCTGCATGGCAGTTCTTCCTTTGCATTGGCTGGTGGTGGATATTTTAAGAATGCCTGTATCTTGGGGTGGAATTGCAGTTCTTGGTTAAGAAATGTGTGTTTTTATTGCTAGTCAGTCTTAACAGTACAATCATTAAATGTTTCTTGTGTGCACTGCTAAAGCTATTTTCCTGAAAGGTAATAAAGTAACATCTTCAAAAACAAATGTTGGCTCATATTTGTATTTCTAGAATTGACCAGTTGCAATGCACGAATCTTAGCCATGTGTTTTTCATGTGCTCTTAAGGAATTGTCTTTCCACTGCAAATTCCCTAGTGTTTGCGTTCTTGGGGCATCCCACAGCAGTCATGTGAGTGTTTGAGGCCTGTCTGCGATAGCGTTATGGACCTTTCTTTGTTTTCTCTTTTAGGTTTTCACATCACATGATTCCTGGTCCTCCAGGCCCTCACACAACTGGAATCCCTCACCCAGCTATTGTAACACCTCAAGTCAAACAAGAGCATCCGCACAACGACAGTGAGCTAATGCATGTGTGAGTCTGCCTTTCTGCACTAGCCCTTAATCTGCAAATGCTTGAGAACTCTATTAAAAGAAGAGTCAAGGAGGTAAAATAAAGGGAACAAGTGTCTTTCATGAGCTGTTTGAATTTTAAACCTTCTCCTGTAATTGCAGCGGGAGATGTTGGCTGTTTTGGGGGACGAATAATGAGGTATGAAGCCAGTATTCCTTCTAGCCCAGCACTTCCTAGCTATCAGACACGGTCATCTTGATTTGGACACAGACATGGAGCTGTCTTCCTGTGGATATTGTTTGAGAATGAACTCATGAGCCTCTATTGGATAAGGTCTTTAACTGCAAGATCTATACTAAAAAGTGCACACAGCATTTGTGCTTGGTACCTGATGGCAAAAGGCTTAAGAAATTAGTGGATGAGGAGCTACCTTCTCTCTGTAGCAATGGCCTTCTAAGTGTTATTTGCCAACCTCACACCCTCCTTGAGTGTTGAATTATTTTTTTAAAGCCAGTTCCCTGAAAAGTTATAAAATGGATGGGACATGACCATTGCAATTCACATTCTTAATAATTTTATGCTGTTGCAGCTTGGAAATTTTCCATTGGGTGCTTCTTTTTATCAGGCTGAAGGTAAATAGATGCCTTTTTTTTTTTCTTTGTCACCTCTTCCCTCCTTCCCCCACCACGTTTTAGGAAGCCTCAGCACGAACAGAGAAAAGAACAAGAGCCAAAAAGACCTCATATTAAGAAACCTCTGAACGCTTTCATGTTGTACATGAAAGAAATGAGAGCGAACGTTGTAGCAGAGTGTACTCTGAAGGAAAGCGCAGCCATCAACCAGATTCTTGGCAGAAGGGTATGTACAGTGGGGTGTGTGTGTGCTCACGTGTGCTGCTAATTTGTGCTTCCCCTTGGCGGGTGTGATGGCTCACTTTCTGCTTGAGGTGTTAACTAATGTGCAGCTATCAAATTAGCTAGAAGATGAAACATGCAGCTAAAAATAAAAGCAGTATGCTGATTTTTCTTTTTTCAGTTACCCACATCATCAGGCTGGCGTGTCTGGTCCGTTCGTGTCTCTGTGTCTGTATCTTGTGCGTTAAATATTCCTGTTTGCACATGGAGGGATCACTGCCTTGGTCCTCCTAGAAGGTGGCATTCATCAGAACAGGAGAGGCTCATTTATAAGTAGCAACACTCAGTGCTTATGGAGATAGATCTCAGCAGTGAATATCAGTATGATGTAGGTTTGATCACAAAAACATGTAGGTTGGAAGGGACCTCCCGAGATCATCAAGTCCAGGCCCAGGCAGAGCAGGCCCAGTTACATGGGTTTGTTCTGGGAGTTGTCCAGGCAGGTTTTGCCCACCTCTGAAGTCATTAGCCCAGTGCTGATCATCCCGGGCCCATTCCAGAGCCCTGCTGAGAGCATTTGCCTTGTGGCATCCTAGGCAAGTTTGTTTTTTTTTTTTTTTTTTCTGGAAAAAAATGCAGGCCAACCCACAGCTGCAAACTGTGTGTGCTTTCAGTGTTGCTCCTCTGAAAGGAAAGTGCCAAAGATAAGTGCCCCTGGCCATCTCTGACTTATCTGTCCCAGAAGTTAGACAGATGGCTTTCATAGCAATTTGAGTTTGAGAATAGATGCTCTGAACCCCTTTTTCTGAGGAGTGCCTCAGCAAGAGGCACTGGAGCTCTGGGGGGAAAAATAGTGCACTTTTCAGTAGGAAGCCATTAACTGCTGCTTTTTCTGTTACCTTCTGAAGACTTGTTTTCCCTCAATTGGGTTAGAAATCTTTCATTTCTTGTCCTGGTTCTTGCAAACCTCTTTTTGACACTCTTGTTACTTCCTCCTAAAGGACATCTTGGTGCTTGCATTTGCTGTTCTCTCCTACAAGTCTTACCCCCGCAATAGCTGATCTTAGTTTCTCATAATGTCGGTCTCGTTTTCCTGGCCCGAATGATGGCAGTGGCTTATTTATCTCCACTCCAGCAGTGAATCAGACCTCAGCGCTCTGTAGTCTGTTTTTTTCCACAGTTTTGACTCTCTTTCCAACTTACTCTTCACTGTGAAAATACCGCAAGTTCCGCTTGCCCAGCGGTACAAACAACGCATGAGTTATCAAATATAATTGCCTGGAGATTAATTATTATCAAATGTTTTGTGCTCAGCTGCCCTGGCTGCTGTTTACTATGTGCTCTGCCACCCTGCTCTCCAGAGCTTGCGCTTGGCGTGGTGCTGGACTTCCTCATACCCTTTCTTCTCCTTCCCCTCATACTACTGTGTGCTCTAGATCTTAAATCAGCAGTTCTTCACAGCAATAAGCAAGTGCTGAAGGATAAAAAAATATATATTCTCACTGAAATGGCAGCTTTAGGGACCAGCTGGGTTTGCAGTAGGGAAGGGGTGCCTATCTAAGAGATGTGGTGTAGAAAAAAACTTTTCTCTGTATGTTTTGAATTCCCCCATTTTGTTGTTGCTAGCCCAGGAGTTTTCAAGGGTGGACACTGAAGCTATCAAGAAGTGCAAGTCCGGCAGCGCTGCCATGCAGGAACAGTTGCACAACATGCAGGAAAGAGGGATGCTAGAAAACGAAGGTGGAACGTGTCTAACAGTAGAACTGCTTCCTGAAGTTACAGGAAAACATCACGTTACCTGTAAAAAAAAATAAAAAATAAAATAACAGCGTTTTGAGTGGAAAAAACAAGTTTCCATTCTTAGATGTTTTATCTTCATGTTTCTGGTAAGGCAGCTACTCTCAGTATATCCTCTTGCTATCAGCAAATAATCTCTGCAGAAGGAGGAGCTGTCCCCTCATCTTATTTTCTTAAGCTTTTTTCACTTCAGTTGTAGTGAACCAGAAATGTGTCCCCTGGCAGCCAGCTGAGGCAGCCTGATCCTTGTCATCCAGCCACTTTCTGTACTGAAGTTTGGTTGCCTCAGTCCTCTCCTCATCCACGCTGCTCTTGGTGTGGAATTTGTTCTGCGGTCGGAACTTTGCTTTTTCCGAATCTCCTGACATGAACTCCTCAGGTGCAAAGGAAACATGCCAGTTCCTGAAGTGTTGGCCACCTTGCCGTCTCGCAGTGCCGTGTGGGGAATATCGGAGTTGCAAATGGGCTGAATCGCTCTGCTTTCAGTAACACATCCAACTTGCCAAATCTGGCCAGACAAGCCGTTTTGTTCACATCTTCTGACATGTAACAAAGGACATATTAAATCCTGCAAATATGATCTGACCTGAAATCCTGGGTCTATAAATTATTCTTGCTTGAGTGTCTCACTGACTTCATGTCTGTCTTTTCATTAATGTCTTCTCTCTTTCTGTGCTTGCTTTTCCCCTCTGTGTGTTGTCAAGGTCAAATATCAAAATAAGGCTAATGCTGCAGTGGAAGCTGATTCAAAAAATGATCTTTTTCTTCTTTTTGCTTCAGATTATAGGTGTTTCAGCAAGAACACAATGATTAGATACAGATACAGTTGGTGCCTTTTCAACCTTGCAGGTTTTGTTTCTTCAAGGTAGATAAAGCAGGAAATCTATCCTCCCTTGGCCATATAGGTCAACTCCTGCAATTTCTAAGACAACAGTTCAGTCGCTTGTGGATTCTGGACACTTCTTGCAGTTGCCATTTTCTTTTCTTCTTTTGCTAGACGGAGAAATTAAAATGCAAATACCTTAAAGCTCAGTACCTCAAGGGTGATCTTGGAAAAGGAGCCTGCTGGTGCCCTGCACATGTGTTATTCCTTTTGACATCGGAATTGAAAACCAGTGTGTAGACGCCTCCTAAAACAAGAGAGCAAAGGTTCTGCTGGGGGAGAGTGCAAGCCCTCTTAGAAGCTGCACAAACACTGTCTGTTTTGTCATGAACTAGAATATTTTTACGTAGTGTGGGTCTGTGAGCAGACTATTTGGCAAGACCCATGTTGCATAAATGATTTTTATCTTGCTGAAGGCACTTGGCAGTTGTAGAGTTGACAAATGCCTGAATTTTGGTCAGCAAACAGGGGTGCTTGTAGTTGCTAATGCATTTCATCTTTGCAGGAGGAAAGGGCTGAGTCAAAGTCTCAAAAACACTTTCTAATGTCATCTGTTGCCCAGCTATGAGTTATTTCTCCCTCTAATACTGTGTTTATTTTATTTGCAGTGGCATGCTCTCTCCCGTGAAGAACAAGCGAAATATTATGAACTAGCTCGTAAAGAAAGGCAGCTACACATGCAGCTTTATCCAGGCTGGTCTGCAAGAGACAACTATGTAAGTCACTCACTCGAAGTTTCTTTGAAAATTAATCTCCTTTATCTAATGTGCGTGGGGTTGGGCTGTGTGTGCGTAGGTGGAAAAAACTGTGGAAAGCTCTGGAAGGAGAGGTGGTGAAGAAACATGCATGAGCCTTATATTTAGCTGTGCTTTGGGCATCCAGAAAACTTTGGATTTTTGTGGTCGATAGTGCAGTGTATCTTATGAAGGCCACAATTTTTAAGGGAAAAAATAGTTTTGTTTTTTTTTTTTTTCTCTAGGACAATAATCACTACAGGCTGCTTATATTGTACTGCACAGCTGTGAACTTTTTCATAACTGATCACTTGCCATCCAGAAGTCTTCTTTAAACTTGAGCAGAATGAGGCCCCTCTCTTCCAGGAGAATCTGAAGCCCAAGTGTCCTGATGCAAACTAAACTTTAATGGAACGTAATTCTGGATGGTTTTATTGGAAAGGAAGCATCCAAAATTTGCGTAGTTGACCTTTACGATAGATTCTGCTTTCATAGAGTTTGGCAAAGATAGGAAATTTTCTTACAATAACCAATACTAGATGAAAGTTAATAGCAACAGTGCAAGTATTAATAATGCTGTCAGCATTTAAATAACTCTTTTTCTAAAAACCATAGACAAGATCTTTTTGCTTTGGAAAACAGGACGCAAGATCTTCACATTGGCAGGGCAGTTGGAAACCAGCATCTATGTTCACTTTGCACAGATATTATTGCAGTATTTTTAAGAGTTGCATGACGTAGGGGTGATTCTTCTTGTTTGATATGGCTGGATTTCACAAAACAGGGTGATTAAAAAAAAAAATGTGCTTCTTGGTTTTGATTCTTCTGTTTTGGTTTGTCTGGTTGTTCAGGCTGTCAGCAGCCTCAGGAGAACACTAAGCGTTGCTGTTCATCTGCTGACAATAGATGGATACTTCTCATTACATGTTTTTGTTACCACCACCCAAAGCATTCATACAAAGCTGTGTGATAGCCATTAGCAGGAGCAGTGTCCTCACAATGTAGTATTGTCAGTGTGTGCTGAACTTGTCAGAAGTTGCTGCAGTTGGGGCCGCTTAAAGCTAGTTTTCAGCCTAGCCTTTTCCTTCTGATTTTTCTGATTTTGATATTACCTAGGATCTCAAATTGGCACTCAGTAGGTTTTAGCACTTGAAGTCAGACTGCTCAAAGAAATAAAACGGAGTAGTCCTCACATGATTTTCTTTTCCTTGTTAATAGCTGCAGTAATGCAGTGTCTCTAAAGCAGTCTGGTCTTGGTGCCCCAGTGATAAAGCTCACTGCTGTGAACTTCCCAGAGCCCTGGAAATCTGTTTTCTTGTTTCTGGTTTTGCTCCTGTCTTTGGGAGCTCGCTCACAAAGAGTTGCCTGGTCCTGTTGCCAGCCTCAGGAGAAGTAAGGGCAGGAGCTTAAGAACTGTGCAGGCCAGGACTGGCAGAGCAGGCTGGAAACCACCTAAACTTCCCTGCCAGGAGCTTCTCGCAAGCCAGGGGTTGGGACTGTGACTCGCTGTCCATCGCTGACTGCTGCAGCAGCTTCGGGTGGTTTTGCACATCCCCTGCTCTTGGTCCCACCCCTCTCTCCTCTCGGCTGCTCCAGGACACAAGCACAAGTCCTTCCCACTTGGTGTGGTCTCTGCTGGAGTGTCCAACTGCAAAGTTGCTGGTTTGCACCCTGGGACAAGCCGTGGTCATCTTGGGTGCATTCAACACCCTGTGTGCTGCTGCCATGTGTGCCAGTATTAGTATCTGAATGTGTGAAGGGTTTCTGTAAGTGCTGTAAATTATGATATCAACATAAGTGTCATCAGTTTATTAAGCATGAGAAGTTCTCTTGATGCTTGCAGTTGCCAGCGTTAGCTGAAAAACAGCCAGAAATAGTAATTTCATGCAGACAGAAAAAATGCGTAATGCCTGGGTATATATTCCTCCATAGATGCAGAGAGCAAAACCTGCTACCATTGAAACAGTTGGGATTGGGTAGGAAAATGATTTTGATTTAGCTATTCTGTTTTTTTTTTTTTTTTTTTTTTTTTTTTTTTTTTCTCAACCACTTTTTCACAGTAGTCTTGATGTGGATTATGCCAGCTGGCTTTTTTTTAATGTGTGTGTTGTGAGGTAGAAGGGAGAGACAAAAATAGTTGGGTGTGCATAATGGCTTAGTAAAATTGCTTGTTTTGCAGGGGAAGAAAAAGAAGAGGAAGAGAGAGAAGTTACAAGAATCAGCATCAGGTAGGCTGTGTGACCGAATCTTTCTTATCATTCACTTTAGGTATATTGTAGAAACCAGGGCTGCTGCTATTTAATTTTTACATGCTTCTCTCCGACACCTGCTTATTACTGATGTCGTCGTCTTAAGATAACTCACTTGAACGCAAGCTTGTACGAATGCACAGAATGTGTGTTTCCTTTCTCTGACACCTATCCCCTATAGATGTCCTGACTCCTCAACATCTCTGGTCAAGCTTATGCATTGCTGTCATCATTGTCTTGCTTTACCTTTTGTTTCTTCTCCTCATTCAGTATTCTGTTATCCTTAGACTTAACTATATGTGTCAAATGGTGTGGGGGATTACTGGATGCTGAAAACTTTTCTGTAGCCACAGTAGTTTTTTCTCACTGAATTTTGCATTTCTGTGTACACTAACAGCTGCCTAGTAGGTTGGCTCAAAGCATCAGTGAGGTCTCCTCTTCGCTTTTAAAATATATATATATAAAAAAAGGAACATCTCATCTTTTTTTTCCCCAACAAAAATGGCTGGTATAAGAACCATTAAAAAAAAAAAACCCAAAACCAAAAGCACAAAAAAATCCATGTAATATTATAGCATATAGACTTATTTGGAATGTGCAAAAACTCTGTAATGGAAATTTGTTAAAGGAAAACAATCTTCTACAGGTACAGGCCCCAGAATGACTGCTGCCTACATCTGAAGCATGGTAAGAACATCTCTAAAGTTTTCCTGCTACAACTGAATTGTAAAATAAATTTTCTTAGAAATTCTATGCAATAATATGAACTTAACAAAAATTGCAGAAGTTTCATGGTTTTTATACCGGCTATCTATTAGGTGTTCACAATTTTACTTACCTTGACATTTTCGAACTGACCATACCTCACTGACTCGCTGCAAGTCTGCCTGTGAAGCACAAGGATGGTTTTATACAGCAATGCTAACCCTCCCAGCCAGCAGTGTCACAGTTCCCACAGAGCATGTTAGAAGTTGGCTTTGCAGTACAGTTCATGTGCTGATGTCTTCAAGATGCTGGCTGGCTGGCCAGGTACCCCGATTTATCTGTGTACTAACAACATATCAGCTAAGAAAGTAGGACTGTTTCGGTTTATCAAGAATTTCTCCCTTGATGGTACAATGGTATTTTGTGTGTGGTGTGGATTTTTTTGTAATAGTTCCAGTGTGTGCTCTCCGTCCTACAGATTTTTCTCCTTTCGTGTCATCTTCATGGAAGGTGGAATGACTATTATTACACATATCCAATAACAGCATCTAGCATGATTGTCAGTGCACGCCGTACCGCAGGGAGGTTCTCATTTCTTGGTGTTTGTGTTGGAAGACTGTCGGTTCCCCTCCCCTCACAGTGTGATATGTTTTCAAGTAGGAATGGAGTTCATTTGCAATAGTAGTGCCTTAGTGCAATAAAATTAACCCAGACTGTATTTAAGAGATCCTTGTGAATTACAGGAACTATGCAAAAAGTAAGTCTCTAAATTTAACTTGGCTTTACAGTAGAAATTGTCTTTTTCTCCCCTTCCCTCTAACTTGTTTGGCCGCATGATCCCCTTACCACTCAGAATAGCCAGCAGAGCAGCAGTTGGCTTTCCTTCTGCTCGGACTTTCAGACAGAGAAATCCAAGTGGACTTTTCTGTGCAGTGTGTCAGTCATCAGCCAGTCAGCATGGTTCAGGGCTCTTCTGTAGCTACACCACGTGTTGGTTAGTCTAAGCTTGCTTGGGTTTAAGAGTTTATCTGAAAATGCTGAAATAAAGTGAAAAGATGTAAAAAGCACACTCTGCTAAGCAGAAAAGGTTCGGGCAAGCTGACAGTCTTGCCCATTACAATATGCTTGTCTTTGCTTGCTGATTTAGGTGTGGATTGCAGCATTTGGATTCTACAGCCTCTACTACAAATGTTTCTGTGAAATGTTATTAGTTACTACCCTAAGTAGTATACTCACAAAACAACCCAAAAAAGTGTTTTAACCTTGAGTTTTATAATTAATATTTCAGGTTAATGTCCAAGTACAAGTTCGTGTTGTGAACATTTTTCTTTTGGTGTGAGGACAATACCAATAAGTGAAACACTGAATCTTATCTGACTGAATGCACAAAACCTAGGATCAGAAAACAACCAATGTTTATGTGACAGTTTAGCACTGGGAGTATTTGGTTTCTTGGATGTTGTACAATCTAAGGATGGCTGCCTTGCTTACATTGACCTACTTTTTGTCAGAGTTTCTCTGTTTTCACCCTCCATAGCAGAGAACGAGCTGAAATAGAAGAGGATGAATGTTGTGTGTGCTTTCTTTCATTATATATTACTTCTACGCTCCTTTCTTTCTCTTCTGCTCTGTCACAGAAAGGAAGCTGTTGTATTACCTGTCTCTCTGTCCAGGTGCAATTTATACCAAGGAGTATCGGAGCGGTAGGAACATTACTTCCACTGAAGGAGAGCATGTTCTTGACTCCATATATGCCCATGTAGGCAGCTTCACTAAATGCTGCGTGCCCAGCAAACGCTCTCCGCTGCAGGCGTACAGATGTACTCTAGCTGAAAGTAAAACGCACACAGTGATTAGAGAACCTGAACCAACCAGACTTCAAAGTAAGCTTCCTAAGGTTAAGAGTCTTGCCCTTTGCAAGCCCAATCCAAGGAATGTTTTGCCCACAACTGTAATATATTTTATCAGGTCCACGGCAGAGCTGTTGTAGCCTTGACTGAATGGAGCTGAGAAGCTGGGAATGCAGCAAAGAACCCTTAGAAAGCTGATGTTTACCTCCTTTCTACCCATATGGCGGGTGCATGAGAGAGCAGTATGGGAGAGGGGGAAGGAGGGTGGGAGGTCTGGGAAGGAGACAAGCGCTCGGTTATCTGAGAGGAATCAGAAATGTGTAGGTGGCAAGACCAAAGAAAGAATCTTTAGATCAGCACAAAGGCAATCAGCCAGAGTTGTAATTACAGTGATGTAAGTGAGAAGGATGAAGCAGGAGGAGGCTTGCGTGGTGGGATGTTCAGAGGAAAGTAACGGAAGAGACATGCAAACAGAAGTGATTCAAGAGAGGGTGAAGGTTTTTGTCTGTGAATGTTGTGGCACATAACTGATCTTTAGGATGGGGCTCTGACCTGCATTTTGGCCACTTCATCCTTTGAGCGGTGAAATCAAGCTGGTAGTTGTCAGAAGTGAAGACATCTGATTTTCTTTATGATTTGACTTCTGAGAGGAAATAAGAAAAGCTGATTGATCTTATGATTACCTTTAATTAATTGAAGAAATATAAGAGTGCTCACAGAATCTCCTGGAGTGTTCAGCAACATAGAAATAGTTAACTTTTTATGACTTGCTGTGTACAGTAAAGGGCACATTGGTTGACGTATGGCGGGATGCAATTGGGAGTTCCTCGTAAGTTATATAACTTAAAACTGACGTTCTGGAGTCTCTTCAAGGGCTAAAAAGATAGAGGAGTTTAATAGGCATTTGAAAGCCTATCTGAAAAAGTATGTATGTGGCCTACAAAATTCCATGACAACTGACATTTAGTTCAGCAAAGTTTTTTTTTTTTCTTTTCTTTTCTTTTCTTTTTTTCTTCAAATGAGAAGAAAAACTTGACTAATGGTGACTTACAATCAGAAAAGCTTAAAAGGATCAGATTAAGACTGTTTAAACAATGACTAATTATTACATTTCAAATGCCTTACATGGAAATCGGAGCCAAAATTCTGTGCAGAAGTGATTTTACCTAGCGTGTAACAATCCAAGAGTGGCTTATTTTTGTCTCACTAGTAAGATGGAGTGGTGTTATGAAAGCAGACTATCCAAGTGGACCAGTCTGCAGTCAGAAGACTGTGGAAAAGCACTGTGTGATGACTGCGGGCATATACGACCACTGGTTTCTGGCCAGCATCCTAGAAAAGAGGGTGTGAGGTGTTGCCTTCTGAAGGCAATGATTTGTGACATGGCTTGTCCAGGGCTCTCAAAATTGCTGCTGAAGTACTTTAAAACAAAAGAAATGCCATGTCTGTGCCCTTGGCTGTTTAGAGGTTTCAAATACAGCCTGGAGGATTGGTGCAGAAGTTGGTGTGTGAGAAGCTGTGTGATGGTGGTGCAGAGTCGTGTCCTCATTTGCTTTAAAACTTGCGCAGTTTCTGCGTGAGCTGCCCTTCCTGGACATTAAGGAGGGGATTTATTGCAGGCCAGGCAGGTGAGGAGAAGGCTGACTGCACCATGGGAGAAAGGCAGAGGGGGGAGTCCAACAGTTGGGCTTTTCTGTGTCCCATACAGGACTAAGTAGTAGAAGCAATGAGTTTGCTGCTCTCCCTTTTGCAGCATGCAAGTACCATAGCATTATCTTTGAATATTAAAAGCAGTCAGGACAGGAAAGTAGAGGGCCTCTTCTGGGGCTTTAATGCTTATAAAAGATCAGTAAAGTGAAAAATGAACAGAATAAAGTTAGTTAGATTGAAACACTTTGTTATATTATCAAAACAGATGTTCAAAGTTTGTTCAGTGTTTCTTTTTCCAGTTAGGCACAGAAATTACCCAAGACATGGGCACGAAGCTCACGTAGAGCCCCTACTGCAACAAAAATCTGTGCCTGACCTTGCTGATCCTTGCAGGGTGAAAGACGGAAAACTTTTCAGGCTTTGAACACCAAGTAAAGAAAGCGCTGCCGAGCGGGCTGTGCATGGCAGATACAGGAGCACTGACACCTGCTGGGAGGGATGCTGCAGAGCGCACGCGAGCCCCCCGCTCCGCGTGGCGCCGCGGGAGAGGTGCGCGAGGGGAGCCGGCAGCCCGCGTTCGGAACGGGGAAAGGGCACAAGCCGCTGAATTCCAGGAGCAGTTGACTGGGGAATGGCCAGAGCCTGTTTTTGGCAGCCGTGCTTCCGAGCTGCAGGTACGGCTGTGCAGGTAGGGATGCTTAGCTAGAGCGTGAGCAGCAGCGTTTTCAGGAAATGGAATAAATAGTTATTGTTTCACTTCTAAGGTGCAGCAAG